ATTTGAAGCTTCGGTGGTCAAAGTAGAGTTGTTGTAGATTCTGGCATCATGGACACTGCCAGGATACCCCAGAACTACATGACGAATGCGTAGCTTATGGTCGCACACAGCTTGCACTTTCAAAGAGTACATATGCTTCCTTGAAAAATATGCTTCAGGGTCGTCAAGGGGTTTTTCGGCTAATTTTATTTCAGTCCCGTCCACATAACCAACACAGTGGGGTAGTTCGTGAAAAGTTTCAGATACTAAATTTTGACGCTCAGCAGCGTCCGGCCAGTACACAAATTTTGTTCTCAGCTTTAAAATAGCGTGGAATATTCTTTTGGTCATGTTCTATGAAAATTTAATAAATTATATTCGATAAAACAAATACATACATACTATATATGTATTTTATTTTGTGTTTTACCTGTATTGCTCCACCATCACTCACACCAAACAAACTCGCAATTTTGCTAACCGTGGCTCCCTCACCACTCGAACCCAATCGGTATAAAACAATTAGGAGTTGCATTTCTAAGGGAAATTGCTTACAAGACCGCGGACAGTTAAACACAACATCGTCCTTAATTAAGTCAATAATGGCTTTAAATGTTGACCGGCTGACACGCGCAATTCGGATGAATCTCTTTTCATCCAAGTTTGGCAATACGTCTTGTATAAAATGCTGGGACTTAGGGACAGAATGATGGACAAAGGAAACACTATACCTAAACTCCTCAAATGCGGCCATTGCCAGAGTAAACTCTTCCCAAACCTCGTCTCCTTTCTTTCGTTGATTTTCTGCAATGGAAGTGCAGGATTAGCAAATCCACAGTAGAAACGAAAACACAAATGCTACCATCATTTTCTCCAAATATCTCCAGCATAAGCAAGTCATTTATAAAAATTTCTTTATAAAGACTTTTCAGTTTTGATTTTTGACTTAATTTCGGCATTTTTATTATTTTTTATAATTTTTTGACAACACGACAGCTGATGTATAAAGTTTACACAATTAGGGGCGTTCATATAACTGTGTGTGTAAACATACAAAAATATACGATTGATAAATTTATACGCTTAGATGAATCCCCTTAATATCTATTTCTTTACAAATGAGATCGAGGGAAGAACGAAATGATTAGAGCCGAAATTTCATAATTTTTCTAGTATTTTGTTTAATATTGTTTTTTTTTTTGTAATTCACAACTGCAATATCGTGAACGCAATCTTCCACAAATACAGCTTTGACTCATATAGTTCAAGAAATTTCCTCCAAACTACTTATTACTTAGAAATTTGAGCTAATTTCACCACTAACGACACCCAGCACGCTGGTATAATCACACCACAAGAACATACACGGTCAAATGACTTGATGGGTCATTTAACAAATTTACAAACAAATTTATTTTAAACTATAGTTAAATCGTTAACAGATAAGTTAACAGCCCCAACACTTTTACAGTATGTATGTATAAAAGCGTAAGGAACATACAATACATCTTATATTAATAACAAGTAATTTTTAGGAAAAAAAAAACCGACTTCAACTCCCATATAAAAAATATATTATATATATATATATCTCATGATCCACTGATCGGATCTAAACCAGATTAGTATGGGACCACCTCTGAGAATTATCGAAATCGGTTGACGTGGTCCAAAGTTATGCGGTAACATACATAAAAATAAAAAAAATAAAAATATTCCGACGAACTGATAACCTCCTCCTTTTTTGGAAGTCGGTTAAAAATGTTGTGTTCGTATGTTACGGTCGTCAAAACTCGAGAACGGCTGAACCGATTTGAATAATTTTTTTTTTGTATTGTTCGGTATAATACCAGGACCAATGATATCGCGAAAAATTTGAGGGTTGCCACCTATTTGAAAATTTTTAAACCCAATTATATTGCTAGCATAAATAAATGATTACAATGTGTGTATCAAATTAAAGAGGTTTAAGAAATATAACTGCTGGAAATATTTTTGGCGAGGGTTGCCACCTATTTGAAAAATTTAACTCAGTCAAATTGATAAAAAAAATTAAATATTTCCATGTGGGTACCAAACTAATGAGTTTTAAGAAGGCTTACAGTCGAAAATATGTTTGAAGAGGGTTGCCACCTGATTCAAAATTTAACTAAAGAGCATCGATAAAATAAATGAAATATAGCAATATGGGTATCAAATTACAGAGGTTTAAGAAAGATAACTGCTGGAAATATTTTTGGCGAGGGTTGCCACCTATTTGAAAATTTTAACTCAGTCAAATTGATAAAATAAATGAAATATTGCCATGTCGGTGTCAAACTAAAGAGCTTTAAGAAGGCTTACAAGCGAAAATAAGTCTGAATATGGTTGCCACCTGATTGAAAATTTAACTAAGTTACATCGATAAAATAATGAAATATTGCAATATGGGTATCAAATTAAATAGGTTTAAGAAAGATAACTGATGGAAGTATTTTTGACTAGGGTTGCCACCTATTTGAAAACTTTAACTCAGTCAAATTGATAAAACAAATGAAATATCGCCATGTGGGTGTCAATCTAAGGAGTTTTAAGAAGGTTTACAGCCGAAAATATGTTTAAAGAGGGTTGCCACCTGATTGAAAATTTAACTAAAGTACATCGACAAAAGAAATGAAATATTGCAATTTAAATTAAAGAGGTTTAAGAAAGATAACTGCTGGAAATATTTTTGACCTATTTGAAAATATTAACGCAGTCAAATTGATAAAATAAATGAAATATTGTCATGTGGGTGTCAAATTAAGAGGCTTAAGAAGGCTCAGAGCCGAAAATAGGTTTGAAGAGGGTTGCCACCTGATCGAAAATTTAACTAAAGTACATCGATACAATAAATGAAATATTGCAATATGAGTATCAAATTAAAGAGGTTTAATAAAGATAACTGCTGGAAATGTTTTTGAGGAGGGTTGCCGCCTATTTTAAAATTTTAACTCAGTTAAATTGATAAAGTAAATGAAATATTGAAATGTGGGTATTAAACTTTAGAGTTTTAAAAAGGCTTACAGCCGAAAATATTTTTGAGGGGGGTTGTTACCTATTTGAAAATTTAACTAAAATTAATTGATATAATTAATGACTTATTACAATGTAGGTATCAAATTAAAGAGGTTTAAAAAACATGACTGCTGAAAATATTTTTGAGGGGGGTTGCAACCTATTTTAAAATTTTAACTCAGTCAAATTGATTAAATAAACGAAATATTGTAATGTGTGTGTATCAAACGAAATAGTTTTAAGAAAACATACAGTCGAAAATATGTTTGAGGAGGTTTACCACCTGTTTGAAAATTCAACTCAATTAAATTGATAAAATAAATGAAATGTTACAATATGGGTACCAAACGAAAGGTATTTGAAAAATCTTGATTTGCAAATATTCTAAATAGCATTATGCAATATGATAAAGTAAACTGAAAATATTGAAATTAAATGAAGTATTACATAAGTGGTTCGAAACGGAAAGTGATTGAGAAAGCTTTACTAGAGATTTTTTTAATGTTTCCACTTATCTAAGTCCGGACAGTTTAAAAAAAGAGAGAATTCACAACATCTTATCGTCAAACGAAGTGATCATATTATCAATGAAGAGTTGGTATACAAATTACGCAATGGAAAAAAATTAATAAAAAAGTGCCGGATGTTTTTTAGAATTAAATATTTCAATAAGAATCTAAAGGGGCAAAAACATTGGGCGAATAAAACCAAAAAAAATTGTTTAAAACAGTTTCATAAAACATTTTTCATTTTATTTGCGTAGTTTCCTTTATGAGGCATTCGTGTCTGTTCATTTTATTTGCGTAGTTTCCTTTATGAGGCATTCGTGTCTGTCCATATGTATATGTGCATATAAAATGCGAATGCAATTAAAATTCTTTGAAGGTATATTGAAGTAATTCTTAAAATTAGTATACGTACATATGTATGTATTTATGCTGATGCGTTTTAATTGATAGTAATTTGTAGCAAACATAGCACTCGCACCTCAAAAGGTTAATTTGTTTGTTTACAGTTTTTTGACATTATAACTAGCTACAAGAGAGCGCGAGCTAGTTGTCACTTCTACCTTATTAATATGCCTTGGCCTAAATATTTTAAATGATTCTTTAAATAAAAAGAAAAAATTGGACAGGTATATAACGGCACACTATGATTGTTCACAAAAGAAGTGAAAAAATCAACGCCAGTTTGTTATAAATGGCAAGTTTTAAATGAAAAAATCACTAAAGATCGGCTGCAAAAAATTAAAGAAAATCAACAGGAAATTTGGGCTATAAAACTGCATATCCAAAATTGTAAAAATTCAGAGTAAAAAGTTCGAAATTTACACGAAAATTTTTGGAAATTTTCGAAATGTATATATGTATGTAGGTTGAATTCTTAGTTTTTTTGGGTGTGATTAAAGCGCAAACGATATCGTTATAAAAAAAATTGCAAAAAAATTTTTACTTGAATAACATGGTGAATATTAAAAAAAGTACCAATCGGTTTTTGAGCCATTGTGTTTGTTTATAAAAACTCAAGTTCAAGTTTTTTCAAATGAGGTTTCGTCATTGCCTTTAGTCTCATACCTCTTAATATGATCTCAAATACCATGTCATTAGTTAAATAAAAAGTTCCTTAGTAAAAATTTTAATTTTTATTGAAAGAACTAAAAAAATAGAATGGAGCTATAGTTTTTATTCAAATAACCAAAAAAAAAAGTTACTGGTAGATATTTTCCAGGTTTGATAGATTTAGCTTTATTATTTGGGTTTAGCCGGAGAAATTATGTTTATCTTCAAGCTTTTTCCAAAAATTATTTAGCTTTTTACTTTTGCTCAAAATATTAAATGCAAATTTAAATAGTGTTAAAGTGTTAAATGCGATTTTTAGTGTTAGTTATGGAACAAAACGCAGACCCAAATGCTGTCATGATATTTTACTTCCGCCTCCTTATCTTATACCCTCCTAATATGTATATCGATATTCAAATTCATCTGCATTTGTTTTCTAATTGCTTGAAATTTGGTAAGTATTGTAATAAAACCGATTTATTTTACAAATTAATTATAATTTTGCATTTATTAGGTAATTTCCTTAGTGTTTTCCTGGCCGACCTGTGCTGGTATTGTAATTAAGAGCTAATACACGTAAGTTACAACATATTATTTTGACTTCATTGATGAACCATTCCATTTGCAGCATTCTCTGGTGAACTGCAGCTGCGGCCGAATTTGATTGTGTGCATCATCCTGCAGATATTTTGAAGTAAGTTGGAACCAGCTCTTTGTTATTTCAAAACCTAATGAACCATTTATTCGCAGATTTTGTGGACGCTTCTGTTGTGCTGCGTTCCTGCTCCGCCCGTGTTTTATAGTGTTGCGTCCCTGTTGCGCCTTTGC